CGAGGCGTGCAACAGCACAAATTGAATAAAGCGCGTGGTGGTAATCTCCTCCTAAAAAATTCCATTAACCGCGCGCCTGGGCAACGTTACGTCGACGATAATTGCGAATTGACGTTTTTTAATCCACGCGGCGGGTGTAAACACCAGCCTGACGGGAAAATCCTCGCGAGCAAACGAGATTACGCGTTTTCGTGAAAAATGGGATTTCACCATGCCCGGTATATTCCATCTGACCGGCTCACGGTATTTGAATAAAAAATTTTGCATTTTCGGGAATATGTCTACATATTCGATAATCGTTCCATGCAATCAAGAAGTTTCCAAAACCGACATCGAAACAGAAGTTAGTATCGATATTTTTCTGATTTTAATCTGCTTGAAATGCATATGCAATGCACGTGCGTAACATAGATGTTATTGATACATTGGTAATATTAATTGCGTAAAGTTGATTGAAACGAGGTACTTGGTGTTAAAGATTATAAACGTTCTAATTGTTATAACAAGGTTTGCATCGCGCGTTAAATTATTTATATTGCATATTATCTCGCGATACACGAGATCGTAATGTTTTACGATCACTCGCGAGCGAAGACAAGAGATCGCCGCGACATTGTCGAAACTTTAGAAGTTTGTAGAAGGGACAAAAATAAGGGAACTCATACTTCTTTTCAGCGTCGGTAGCCGAAGTTTAAGAGGAGATGTTACCCTGCGAAGTTTCCACCTTCTTATGCTATCTTGAAAACTATTGGATGCTCAAGGAAGATTTTCAAACAATTTGTTTCGCGTGCTCGCCGGTATTTTTATAATCGTAATATGAAAATCGTCTGCTTTAGCTTTCAAAACATCGATTGAATGTGCTCCAAAAAAAAACGGTATCTTATTTATAGGGTTTGAACCGTAAAGTTTCGTAAAAATCCTTACTCTGGTCGGTCCCTCGTCGGTGCCGAATTAATTCCACCGCGAATCTCGTTACCTGTTTCCGAGACTGGGCGTCGAAACTGTAATAAAAACCTATCGGCGGACGGGGTCACGTGTATCGATCCCCACCCTTCCGCCAGGTGATACGTCGGTTTCGAACGATAGTACATCGCTCGGGGATGTCAGGAGCGAGGCGGATTACGACGTTCTCGATGTCCACCAATTTGGTGACACTGCCGCGATCGGCCACCTTTCGCAATTTATTGCGATATAACGCGCGGAACGGTGGTTGTAAATAATATGGAAAACCGCGGTTAAAGGATAGAGGAGTGGTCCGGGAGGGGGGTGTACACGGTCAGGGAACCGAGATACGCGAAATAAAAGGATCGAGAGAGGCGAGCATGGTAAAAGGGACCAGGGATGGGTCGAGCGGAGTAAGCGGAAGAGGAAAGAGGGTGATTCCGGGTATACAGAGGACGACTAGAGATGCCATATTTCAAAGTGGGGCGTCCTCCGAGGAGCCGTGAATACCTTAACAGTCATAAGGTGTATCCGCGAGCGGTTGCTATACGCAGTTGTCCCCTAAACGTATTCGAACGTTCCAGGACCGTATCCGCCCGCGAAACGACGCGGCCCTGGACAGCCGTTCCCCGGGTCGGGATATGACGAGAAGACCGAGAGCATCCACCCTCGATGTTGCAGCCACGGGCGGTTATGCCGCGGGAAATTGTGACGCTCGGAAATACTCGAAATTGGCGACCGCCATAGTAACCGCCTCGCCAGGATGCAACGGGAATTGCATCAGACCTGAATACTTGCTGGAATTGTCTCGCCGACGGTCCCATCTTCCCGATCCTCGATGCAGATCCTCGGAACAGAGGGAAATTCAAGGGTCGATGGTATCCCTTCTATTTAGCAGGATTAAACTTTCGAGACTTGGACGCATCGGGTTGAATTTACTTTCGTGGATCGTGGGAGTCGACGGCAAAGTAACCGTTTGGAAATTAATGTAAATTAATATTTTATCGATAAGCAATAAGTTGCTTAAGACTCCTGTTGATATCGGGTCGAGGAAGTGAAACGAAAGTTGAGAAACAAGACTTCTTCCAGTAAATCAAATACACCATCTAAACACACATGGTACATACCATAAGCTGTGTTAAATATGGAATTCAGTTAACGTTTAACTGAAAGCAAAAAACGAAGGGTGGATGGAATCTTTGCGAATCGTTGTGTAACAATGAAATTTTGAAGACGATAATGCGATAGACATTTTGCAAAATCGGTTGCTAATCTTTTCCAATGTGATTCATTTCGTATCTAAATTTTTGTAAAATTTTAATTACGTTAAAATGTATGAAATAGTATTCGACAACGAGGATCGGAAGCCTCATGTTAAATTGTCCTGCTACAACTACCGTCGAATGAGAAAAACTTGCACTAGACGGTTCACTGGCCGTACTTTTTCGCTTATTTTGTTCTTCGAGTTGGCTGACCCGCGTGTTGATTTCAGAGTGCAGTAACGGTGGTCGTTTCATTCCTTGGACATTGATAAATAATGTTAGAGAACAGTCTGTTGGTTCAAAGCAGGTTTTGTGTGATTCGTGGCAACCGTAAGTTTTCACTTTTTTAGTATGGAAGAATGTTTATTGTGTATGTGAGCATTTCTGATCCTTTCTTTTTCTGCTGGTTTATGCTGTGACTCCACTAATTCTTTCAAACCTGTCTAATTTTCTCCTTTTCTTCTGAAGCTACCCGTGTAACAATTTCTTTATCGTTTTCCAGCGTTGCTTAATTTCAGCGATCAGACAAGAACCGAAGTTGACCCGTTGACAGGTCATTGACCGCTTTCATAAGGAACAAGTATAACGAGTAACTGTATATACAATGTACCAATGCATCCGTACCAGCGATTCTATTCTATTCTTCTGATTTCCGCTCGTAGAACACGCTAACACAGTTCCGCTAAAAAAAATCTAAGTTTATAGACGTTGAATATATTTTATAAACTATCCCCGAGCGTTTTCCTCTCGCGAAAGTTAGGACACCGATCGAGCGGACGGATTCGAACAGGGTCGAACAGGCTCCGGTACCTGTCCGTAGAAAACGAACAGCCCCGATAAATCTGGCCCAGCTATACGCGTTCCCGGCAAACAGTGCCGGTAATCGCGTCATTACGCGAGCAAACGAACGGGCGAGCAGACGTAGCTCGCACTATTTAATAATGAGACGCTCTCTATTACTCAATGGCTATTAGCGAGGATGCTGCGGCAGGGGTGGCTTTCGGTTCCACTCCGTTCACGGTGCAATCGGTTAATCACCGTTCCTCTCATCCCCATTCCTGAGACACGATTTAAGCGGCAGCTCCGTGTCCCGTCGCGCCCCCGCGAGTCCCCATATCAATTAATCTTACCCAGAATGCAATAACTGTCCAATCTGCCCCGGTGGCTGCGTCACGGTGTCGCGCAGTCAGCGCTGTAACGCTCTCCTTTCTCGTCTAACCCCCCAACCGGGGGGCCATCGTCGTTCGTCTTTCTCTCGTCTCCGCGTCGGTTTTTCCATTCCTTCCATCGTCCGACGACGTCCTTGCTTTCCGCGAGGTCCTCGAAACGAGCCTGCCCGGAAAATCTCCGAGTCCGAACCATCCCCAACCCACCCCCCTTTCTTTGCGAGTACACTCGAAATAACCAGAACTGCGAGGCAGACGGAGGGAGCGAGACGACGCAAGAGTAACGAGGGACGGGGATGCTCGACGAACGAAACTCGCCCCCGGAAAACATATTGGGCCGTTAAGGGGTTCGCTGTTAAGGGGTAGTCTGCTTAATTGGCACGGCCGTTTAACCCTGAATTACAACGACCGGATAGCGGAGCCTGGAACGACCGTGATCCGATCCCACCAGATTCCTGGTCGATGATTAATCGCGTCGATGGTTATTGCTCGTCGATGTTTGCATCTTTAAATGTTGCTTCTCAGATGTTTTTCGCGCGAAATCGGTTGCTCCACATCCATTTGAGATTATAATAACGAGCTTAAAATCGATTAAATCATCATCCGCCCTGATCTTTTTATACAAAATCCTTGAAAACCGTATTATACTATTTAAAAATTCATTAAGAGGTAATCCTTTCAAATTTGGGAATCACTGTTGACAGTGCATTGTTTTACTAACTCAACTTTATTCGAATATGAGACTTACACTTCCATAGAAGCCAAGCAAATTAATATTTTTATTATTCGCGTTATCAGATACGATTTTAACTTCGCCACTGTTACGAACAAATGGCAAATCAGTGATTAAATAAAAGGTAGAGGCAAATCAAATTGGAAACATCTTCTGATCACGATCTTCGAATGAAAAGAATTCTAAAAGACGCTATCGAATCTCTTTTGCTTTTTAAATCTTTCCCTCGAATTCAGTGACCTTAAAACAGGTGAAAATCTATTTGACGGAAAGTCTGATACATTCCAGTCTATTTATTCGAGTGACACGAATCCACGTATAATCAGAGTCGAATCTTTTTAAGAGTGTCGAATGAACTTCCGAAAACTAAAGTACGCAGCAATTCGAGCAAATTTTATCTATGTCTAATAATATTTACAACGCTTCGAATAGATTAGATCTGTCCGGAGACTTTGATTAATTCGAATTGCAGCAATTCTAAGCCAATGTCGCGTATTCGAGGAAATTCGATTTGTTTCGTTGCAACGCCACTTCAGCCATTGCTGTTCGCTGCGAAATCCACTCGTTGATACGTTGTCGATGATAGCTACGAAGATAATTACCGCTCTACAACGAAATAAGGTAATGAATCGAGAAATTCGTGGATAGAGGATTGAAATAAATTCTGTTTTATTCAGATAACGATGATATATAAACTTCGTCGAAATTCTTGCGTATTGACTTGCAGTTCGATCCAGTGCGTCGATGATAGTGTTTATCTCGAATGAAAGGGATTGATCGTGCCACTGAGAATGAATTACAAATGGTAACAGCATTTATTAATAATAATAATAATAATAATTAATAATAATAGTAATAATAATAATAATGACAATAATATTAATAGCGAGTCTTCTAATTACAATAATTACATAATGATAGTAATGGTACAACAATAAAAACTTTGGTAGCAAGAAGAGAGGAAGAATACAATTACTTGTTCTTGGCGAGACTTACCAACGGAGCGGAGACGTTTCTCCGCCCCTGTTTTGGAACAAATCCGCCCTCTAACGCGTGTTTCGTCTCTATTTATAATATTTATAGCCTCGACTCGTTTGTATTTATAGTCGTATTTATATTATGTATATATTTATACGCTTAGGCTAGGCGAGATACGGTGCTAGTTTATTTACAAGTATTTTTTGGTCACAGTTGCAACTTTGGAGTAGGAGATGCCCTTTCTTGAACGATAGGTGCGGGAGATATGCAAAATACAGTACGTTTCCATCGTACTTTTTTACACGTTGTCGATCGACGACGACCGAACGAGTACCAAACCGAAAAGTTCGTCGATCCCGATGAAAATTAAAATTCGAACGCGTAAGACAAATTAAACAAACTATCAAACAGCCACGAGTGTACCAAATTCGGGTAAGAGTTCGATTAAGTACAATTTAGTGAATCGTGTAACAAAAGGAAACAAAAAAAATACTCGTTCAATCGTCGCAAAAAGCCACGCGTAAACGACTACTTAATAAGAGAAGTACAGTGATCGATTATCGGTATTTAACGAACGATTCAACACGGAGAGTAGCGACGTTCGGAACAAAGAAACTTCCTCGATCGGTTCTCTGGATCTATCGCGGATCCGCGAGAAACGCGTCTCGTCGACGAGTAACGTCGTGCTCCGCCCGAGAACAAAAGGTCGTCGAAAAAGTTCTATTCTGCCCTATACTTTCTTGCTGGAATCGCGGCATGGAATGTACAGCTTTTGGTAACGATAATGCGTATCGCTTACGCTTGTTCGTCTATAGCTCCGTTTCGAACGCACGGCCCGTTGCAGCAACGTCGTTTCGAATTATTAAATAATAAATACATAGTCCTGTCCTTACGAATGTACAGTGCCGTTGTACACAGTTCGCGCTCACGTTCGACGATGGGACGCGGGTTCATCGATTGCGGCGAAAGGAACGTTTCCTCGCGACGTTTTCCAACATTGCCCCCACGGAGGGTGGCGTACACAGTTTCCTCGATTATCGTTCGAGCGTCGTTCACTGCATCATAGTCGGGTTACCGTTGGACAGAGAATTCTGTCCGGGGATGGCGCCGATCGCCGGTCGCTGGGAGGCGTTCAGATCGGCGTGCTGGGTCTCGCGATGCCTTCTCAGATCGACCTTTCGTTGGAAAGCGCGGCCGCAGAGCTCGCAAGCGAACGGCTTGAAGCCGGTGTGCTTCCTGGAATGCGTGATCAAGTTACTGCTTTGGGAAAACGCCTTTCCGCATACCTGGCACTTGTGCGGTTTCTCCCCTGAAACAGAAATTACGGAACCCCGTCAGATTTTACCTTTTTCTTCGCTCGACCTTAACGCTGCCCGGACGCAACTTTGCCTCGCGCGTCAACGTTGAGTAATCGAAGGGTATTCGAAACTATATATGTATATATAGTTACATTATAGTGGAGGAAAGTAATTTTACAAAACCTTATGTTGGGTTTGTAAATACCAGATGCTCGTTGGCAATTGGAATTGGTTGATTGAACTCTTTGGCTCGTACATCGTCGTCGAGTACCAGGACTTTTTTTTTAATAAACATTCGAAACTGTACATATAGTTTTATGTGATTCACAATGTCGAGAAAAAGTACTTTCTTCGAGAAAAATAATTTTATTAGCCCTTATGCTGGGTTTGTAAATAGCCAGATCGATGTTCATTGGCAAGTGGAATTGATTAATTGAACTCTTTGGCTCTTACGTCATCGTTGAGTAACTGACAGGACTTTTTTTTTAATAAACATTCGAAACTGTGAGCGAGAAAGAATACTTCGAGGAAAATAATTTTGCAAGTCTGTATGTTGGGTTTGTTCGATGCTCATTGACAATTGGAATTGATTGAAACACTTCTGATACGTATCTCAATTGCCAGAAAATACTTTCGTAAATTCTTATAACAACGAACGCGTTATGAATCACAATATTGAAAAATAAACTGTTATTGCTACCTAAATTTACTTACGTACTGAAACCTTGCCCGCTTTGTATAATCTATCGATAGAAAAATTGTCGTATACGAGTCGATCGAAATCTCTCCGACGACAGGCCATTCGGTCGCCCCAGGCTCGGTATTTTGAGGGTAGGTAGCGTTAATTCGGAGAGGACCGCGGTGCTTAGCTCGCCTGGTGATAGCGGCCGCGAGGAGCCACGAGCTTCTACGTATCCCGACGGAGAAGCTCCCCGAGAAGGGTGGTGGTGTTCCAGCGAGAGGGGGGTGGTATCACGGATGCGGGGCACGCCCGGTCAAGATTTCCTCCCAAGCGAGAATCTCAGCCTTCCCGGCGGCGCGAGGCAGAGAGAAGAGATCGCTGATGGAGACGAGGGTTGCGAGGGGGTGGTCGTGTGGGTGGTGGTGCAGTCCGGACGAGCGTTCGCGATGGGATGGCGCGCACAGAGGGGTGGAAGGAGCAGAGACTGGTAGCCGTTCGTTCTCTCTCGCTGCGGCCGCGAGTTCTGATTGGCGGCCAGGGGCGGCTCCAACCCCCGCGTTGCCATGACTACCGGCGGGATAACCCGGCGGTCGACTGGCGAAAGAAAGAGAAGAGGCTACCGATGGCGAAAGCGCGAGGCGAGAGAGCAGCGGGAAATGATTTCGAGGGACGGGGGGTGGGCGAGACGGACGATCGGATAGCCGCGGAGGAAAAAGGGAGACGAAAAAAGCCCAGGCGGGAGGAAGAATTCCCGCGAACGAGGGAGGCAGACAGCGCGATCAGGGCGAAAGAAGGGGGAGGAGGTTTCCGGCAATGCGAACTATGCTACCGGAGGGCAGCGGAGGCCCGTTAATGGACTCCCCTATACGCCCGCGTCGTCGTTGGTTACGTTTGTCCGAGAGTTCCAAGAGCGCGCGCGCGCTCACGCACACGCTCGAGATCACCGTGAGGCGGTGGGTGGATCCATAAACAACTCGTTAGCCGAGCCTTCAATCTCGCCCGGCCGATACGAGCGGCCCGTCGATCGCCTTTCCGATTATACCCGATCGTTATCTTGATTTCTTTTCGGATAAACTGCGCGCCGTTTTGATTTCACCCCCACCCCCCTCTCCTGTTAACGACGTTTCGACGGTTGGGCTCGATCGGCGTTAGATTTTGAGAGTCGGGGGTACGATCGACCATTCGATACTTGGAATCGTTGAAATTGGTAATCGTTCGTGACTGAGTCGAAGATATTTTAGTATAGATTATGGATTCGTTAGATTCATTAATTTGTGGATGAAAAGTTAGGTTACCAAATCGAAAATTTGTGTACAAAGAAACGTATATGAAACAGAGAAAATAGAGAAAAAGAATAAGAAAATATGTACTGGATTAAATTGTATTAATGATATGGTGAGACTATAAAAAAATCTATTAAATCGGTAGTTTATTTCCAAACTTTGTTCTACAAAAGATGTACCGATAATTCTGTTTAAGTAGGGCCTAGTTATTTCATTAAGACTAATAAACAGATTCAAAACGAAAAGAAACTTTGAAAATGCTACACAATTATTTAAACTCGATTTCAAACACATTACCGCTCTAAAAATTCCGAAAAAAGAGAAGCTTGAAATTTCATATACGTAGATCAGCTTTATATTAATTTAAATCGATCTCGAGTCCAACGATAGCACGATCTAGAATTCCAAAGGGGGTCCAAGGAAGAGAAATTTCAGTTTCGTCGGGAACGTAACGTCATCGGACGATTCGAATTTCGCACGGAGAACAACCGCAACGATTTCAGAACATTTCAAATCGAGATTCAAGGGAGGATTCAGGGTTAAGGGTGCGTCGTCAAGGGCGAGCCAGCGGAATTCGCCGGTGCCGGCGCTCGATGAAATTCCACGGAGTCCTCCGTGCTCGAATGAAACGGCAGAATGAATAGAATTTTCACGGCGTTAAGCGCAGGAGCTGGAAACCCGTGGAGAAATGAGAGCGGAGAACGAAGGTGGCCGTAGGTGGGGTCGTTTGAAATTTACGCAGCCGTAAAATCAAAAACTTCCGCGGCCGAGGTTTCGCCGTTCGATCTGAATCGGTTCGAAAAATCACTCCGTACATTTATGACGTTCGGCAACGGTGGGAGAAAAAAGGGAAGGAAAATAAAAATAATGAAACGGCAGGGAAGGGTGAAAAGAAACCGCGCGCGGTTGTAAAGGAAATAATGTATTAGAGGGAAAGTGGCACGGCGCCTCGGAACTATTTCGTGCACGGCGTACCGAGGGATCGTACCGCAAAAAATTCCATCGTGAAACTTCAACCTTTTGAAATATTCCGGCGAATTCCCGTTACCCGCGAAGGACATCGAACGGAAGTAATTCCGTATCACGAGAGTTCCAGAGCGCCGGAGGTGGAGAGGCAGGAAAAAGAAGGAGACCGTGGAAGGGAAGGGACGTCTTCCAGAATTTACGCGGTCATAAAAATCAAGAACCGTCGGAGCTCTCGCACCGAGGTTGCCCTTTCCGTCTTTATCTCCCGGCGAGACCCGGCTACCGTGGCTCCTGGGGGCGTGCACTCGCGTGCATTCCACGTCTCCTTCGTCACCCGGGTCGCACGGTAAGTCCACGCGCGTGGATACACGCGAGGAACGTCGTGACGCCCGGGCGTCGTTCGTTCAACTACGTGGTTCCAAAGCGTGAGCAGCGATCTGGTCAAAGATTTAACCGGTCGCAGTACAGATTCCGTGCTCTCAATTTTTCAAAAGGCCGCGCGAACCTTGAACGAACACCGAGGGCGAGCGAGAAACTCGGGACTGAGAGCCCCTGAGGTTTAAGACGCCATTACACCCCTGCGCCGTCGGCCGACGCCCCTAAAACTATATTAAACTCCCGGAAATCTTGCGAGGCTCCTCTCCTTCGCTAATTCCCTCCCTTCCTCGCGTTCCTTCCACCCCGCCCTCCGTCCAAGGAGCCCGCTGGAAACATCATCCCCGTGATCCTTCAACCCTCCGTCCGCCTCGAGGAACTTTCGAGAGCGGGAAACCAAGACGGTAGTTTGATCGCTTCCGCCGTCGGGACGGCCGAGTCCCGGGATCGTTCGAGACGAAACCGTCTCGACGTCGACGGAAGAAATATGTTTCTTTTATCTCCTTTTCTGTCCGTTGTACGTCGATACTTGAAAACTGCCGAGGAAAATGGGGAAAGATGTCCACGTTACGGTTGGACCGAATCGTGGTGGTCGCTGATAAATCAAAGATTTTGTATTATTGTCACTTTGCTTTTTAACTGCTTTTTAATCGTATATTGAAACCAAATGTACCACCATCGAAGGGTACTTTGTGCAATCGGATTGTAAACTGTTGAGAAACAAAGGAAGGTGTCCTCGTTATGGTATGGGGATGTCTAAAGGAATATTTTGTGTTCTTGTAAATTACAAATGTCGTCAAAGGCTACTTTGTGCAATCAGATACATAGTGATAAATAGTGTTTTTAAATATCTCTCGGTTCCTCTTGTAAGTAGACAGTCTGTTTTAGTATTAATTACGAAACTACCATTCATATTTTATCCCAGTGGATACTTTGTACAACTTTATTCGATCTTTCTGGAAAGTTGTTCTTATTTATTCACTGTAACATTGTAAATTTCGTGGTCAAAGACAGCTTTCGTTTGAAGCAAGTAACGTGTCCTATTGAAATAAAAGTAATTTCTTAATCTTAATTCTTGAGGCGTGAGTGGAAACAAAGAATGTTCACGTGGTAGGGATTGAGAACGAAGAAAGTTATTTGAGTTTTAACGTAAGTAATTTTAGATTTGGAAATTAGAATTTATTTTTTATTCTACTTATTTTTATAACATTAAACAGCAGTATGACAAAGCAAGAGTAAAAGGAGCACGTAACCTTGGACACCACGAGGGCGCAAACTGGCATCGTTTAAACTAAAAGAAATTAAATTCTTCAAACAATATTAAAGTTATATTAAAAAATTCATGTCACGTCACCATAAGTATACTGATACACGAAAACCTTCATTTTAATATATAATTATATTGTTACATCGTTGCATAAAATACCCAATCTTTATTATATGAAGAAGGGGATTCCTTGTATAATTCTCTTATGAAATACTGTGTAATCGCTAAAACGAAGTTCGAATAATTCCCTGTCCTATTCAAATAATGCAAATAAATTAAAAATGAAAAACGGCATCGAGGAGTGGCCGGGAAAGAGAGACGAAGGTGAACTGGACTCTGGCTGAGGCATTGATTTCCTCTCGTCTTCATCGACCACGTTCCGACCCTCTGGGGGCGGCCCTACCCTCTAACTGAAATCCTCGCGAGAGACGAGAGAAA